TATATATAAAACAAATTATATCTGTATATAAATGATATATGTGTGTAAATGTTACTAATTATTAGTTTACCAAAGTAAAAATTGTAGTATGTGTTTACTGTCCTTTTGTTTCAAGACAACTGATTTTACATTACAATATATTTTGATTTTCGTCAACGTACAAACTGTTTAAACTGTCTAAATATAACACTTGCATTTTCAGAAATTCAAAAACTGTACACACTTAATTGCACATAAACCTTGCAGAAGTGAAAAGTGGCTAGCCGCCTGTGCTTCAGGTTAGTACCCCTTAAGCTATATTAGTGTTTCAGCTTCAGTAGTTTCTAAATCATTCTAAGCCTTAAAGCAGACCTTTACCCCAACACAAAAAAACCCGGGTGCATTCACATAGGAATGTAGTTATCAAAACAGCTGTGAGCCAGTTTTTAAATTAAACATTTATTGGTTTACTTCCAACTAATTGTACTCCACTTTCCTATTTCTTAAGGCACTGGTGACGTAGCCCTGCCCTTATAGCTGCCCCCTGGTAAGGTTATGTCACTAGTGCCTTCCAGAGAGATCTCACCAGATTTTGTGAAATCTTGATAGAAAAGGCTCTATACACACATATCATTATATTTTGTGTAGTGTGGTAGGAGGCAGGAAATGTAATGAAACATTGATTGTTTTGGCCCCACCTGTTCATTGATGCTATGACTTTGTATACACATTGTTTAAACCGAATTAACAGCGCTAGTAGGTGAATCAAATTACCATATAATCGTGTTTGTGGAGCGTCGCGTCACTGCTGAAAATTCTGTTAAGTAAACAGAAGTATAAACAAAAATTATTATGAATGACAATTAATTGTGCTGACAAAAAATGAATATAAACAGCTACAGTCTCTGTAGTAAACAGCTCCGCTTCAAAGCCAAGTAGCAGAGCCTTCCAATGTTCGGTAGAGTAGTGCTTTCCTGGGGTTTGTATTAAGATCAATACATCCCCCTAATAGAGTGTGTACTCACCCCAAACTTTCGGCTGTAACAGACATCCCCAAACGTTTTGTCTGATGGGACACCGTTACTGCGGCGTCTTTCGTATCTCGTGCTTTACCATCAGTCCTCAGTGTAAAGTATTCCCACAGTCATGCAAAGAAAAATTCTTTCATCGGGTAATAGTTCCAGAAATAGTTTATTTAAAACTTCTTTAAAATTTAAAAAAAATCACATTCGGCCGGTCCGAAAACAAACGTGTTTGGTATGGTAGACCCGCCCCTAGGCGTTACGTCACCACCGACGTCCTCGGGGGAAATGCTGAGGACGTCGGTGGTGATGAAACGCCTAGGGGCGGGGCTACCATACCAAACATGCTTGTATCGGTGCATCCCTACTGGAAAGTGAGCTGAATTGGAGAATTTTTCCAAATCGGTTATGTTGTCCTAGATTATTCACTTCTCCTGCCTTCTCCAAACTCTTCACACTTTAGTGAGTAGACCTGAAAGTGTTTGTAATGCACTACTTACCTTCTGATAGCATTTCAGCACTGCCCTGAGTATTGTCTGCCCTTGGTCACTGCCTAACTTCCTGGCTGAATGACATCCATACCTGGGAGCACAGGCTAGGCTTACAGTAGATGCATATTAGTGATCACCACTCGGCACTGGAGAAGATTGACGCGTTGCATAAAAGACACTTGGAAATTAGTCATGCGTGCTGTACTGTACTTATCCTTTAATTGGTAACTAACAGGTAACCTGGTAGATAAAACAGTATTTATTAGAAACAGGATTGCCTTAAGAAAAATGTGCTGATTCTTTTAATAAATGGCTCAATAACTGCACAGAAATGTGATGCTGAATACTGAACTTTGTTTTTTCAACCTAGTGCAAAGTCCTTGTATATTTGAGAGTGTGTATGTTGGTCTTGTTCTTGTTTCATATACACTAGTGTTCAAAAGTTTGGATTTGCCCAGAAGTGTTTTTGTTTTTTTATTTGATTTTATTTTGTTATAGCAATTGATCCTTTAATTCAACAAGGTAGCATTATATTGATCAGAGATTCTATTAAATGCATTGACAGTATCTTAACATTCTTGTAACTTTACTATTTATCATAAAATATTCCATTTGCAGTAATAACAGCTTTGTGACCTTGGCATTCTAGCTTTTAATTTATGAAGATATTCAGAAGAAATTTCAAGCTATATTGCCTGACGCTATTGCCAGAGGTGCCACTGGCTTGTGGAGCATTTCTCTCTGACCTTCCAGTAAAGATGTTCCTACAACATTCATTAGGTTTAAGATCTTCTTTTTGTGGTACTTAGTCCATCAGTCAGTACTCTACTCTGGTTTCCTGTTTCATAACAAATAGGTTTTGCATAGCTTAGAAGTATGCTTTGGATTGTTGTCTCTTGCATTAAGCAAACCGCATTAATCGCATACAGATCACGTAGGATAGTATTATGTAAACAGAGTGCTAACATTTCTGGTTCATTATTCCTTGCACTTCGTAAATTCCCCTCTTTACCATCATCAAAGCACCTAATGTACTGTTAGGACACTGGAGAAATGGTTGCAGTGAAAATGGGGATTTACTGTCATATGTGAATTATTGATTCTGATTTAGACACTTCAGGCTCTAATAGCATTTGCAGCATAAGTTATGCCTTGGCTATATTTTTAATGTGTAAATCCAACCACTTAAATCACAGATTTTTCACACAGATTTAAAATGTTTAATTTCAGTAGCTGTTTAATTAACATAATACCAGATGATCTTGCAATAAAGGTCCTCATTAAGGCTTTCTGTTATGGGATGACAACTGTTTCCCAATTGCTGTCCTGGGTTGTCACCCTGTCACATGTGCCCCTGATGGTGTACTTCAAGTGGCCAACTTACATTGCACCGACATGACATAGCCCACCATTGTCACTCAGAAAGCTGGTCCAGAGCAATGATGCAGCCAATGATTGAACAAGTGTATGTAGGATGGAGGAGAGCAGCATCACCAAGATTTGGAAAAGGGATTAAAAAGATTGTATTTTATATGGAAAACTCAAGAAGTTGTTTATGATGCACAATATTATGGCAAAGTAAATGTTCTCCTTTTAGATCTACTTTAAATGAGCTTCAAGCCTATTATTATTATACAGGATTTATATAGCGCCAACAGTTTGCGCAGCGCATTACAATATAAGGAAGACATTACAATCCCAAAACAATTCAAGACAAGATGGTAAGGAGGGCCCTGCCCGTGAGGGCCTATCTCCGGGCAAACTACAATCCTTCATTTGCAGTTGGGCTACCCCTGCACTACGAGGGTTATCTGCTCATTTATGCCCAGAGGACCAGAGTAAAGTAGTTTTACTTACCTGATCCCCGCTCTCACAAGCTCCAAGACCAAAGCCTGCAGCCTTTTTTCCCCCTCCACTCCAGTGCTAAGAAACCTGCCGACTTCATCACAACTAATGTAGGGCCCATAGACCTGCATAAGATGCCGAGGGACACTCCAGAAGCCTAAGTGAAGGGGGAGGGAGGTGAGCTGGGAGAGCAGGGATCAGGTAAGTAAATCTGCTTTAAAGAATTGCCTAGACATAAATGAGCAGTCAACCCTGGAATTGCAGGGGTAGTCCCATTGCAAGGTGTGTGTGGGGGGTAGGGGTGTGCTGGGGGTTTGAGTGTTTCACCGGAAATAGGCTTTAATTATTTTTTGTTTTAAAAGGAAAAAAAAAAGTGCCAATGCTTTAAAAAATGATTTTCTTAGTGACTACATATACTCTATGTATGAATGATACTGTCAAATGTGCCTTGTAAAGAGGATTCCCTGGCTTCTGTGCTACAATGATCTTTGCCTTTAAAAAAATAAAACCTTGACAGCCAAAATGTCACTTTGATAACAGTGTTTTTTCCATGTTTTAAACATGCATGTAGAAACAGTTTTTTTCTTGTTTTATATACAACTATATCTTATAACTCATTAGGGCTTGCTTATGTCATGGCTGACAGCGACACAAGAGCCTTGAAGGAAATTTCTGGGGGCACGTAGTTTTTAACTAGCATCAAAAGAAGGCTGGGATTTAATTGCTTTGCTGATCATCCTTTTATTTACTATTTGTACCCACAATCTTTTTTTGGCTCACAGTTCATTTACTTTCCAGGAAAGTGGGTACTGATTAAAGAGTACGTAATTAACAGTGCAGAAAGCGGCAGATGGCTTGATGAAACGACTTACGAATGGGGATATAAAATGGAAAGAGACGCCCATTATTCACCTCAGATGCAATCTGCACCAAAAAGATGGCGCGAACACCTGACGCACACTCGTGCTCTAGGGGCCTTCAGCAGATGGAAAGTGGTCCTTCTCATTGAGGATGCTGATAAAGAAAGGGAGTCTTTTCTGAGGTAGGCTGCAATTCCCCTCTGTTAAAGACAGGAGATAAAAGGCCGCTTCTTTTCATGCATTTGGTTAAGCTGAGCTCTGTCATGTTTGTAAAGGGTATGTGCTTATGTGTTTTTCATTCATATTTACAGTATAACAATGAAACTATCCTCTGCATTCAAGTTTACACTGTATTTTAAGCGTTCTTTTCTCTGTGCATGTAGTTTGAGGTGCAATTATTTACATTGAATGTGTTTCCTTAATAGTCATAACAGAAGTTTTGTCTTAAAATTGCTGATACCTAATCAAACTGAAACTTCCCCTTTAAAATCTAGAAATGAGCATAATATTTATACTGTAATATATGTGTATAT